ATATATATATATATATATGTCAGATTTATATATGTGCTTATTAAGTGCTGTGGTACACATTTATTCCCTCTCTTTAACAGTTTTAAATTCTTGTACATGCAGTATATCAGAAGTTGGCCACTTATTAAATATTTTGGACTTTGTAGTCTCTGTCATGATTACTCAACACAAAAACAGCCATAGACAATATATAATGAAATTTGGCTGTTTTCTAATAAAACTTCATTTACAGAAACAAATGTTGGGCCATATTTGGCCCTTGTGCTATAATTTACTGATAATCATGTAGAGCTCATGGCATCTCAGTTATATATATATATTAAACAGGTTAAAAGGTGTTGTTAAGTCAGTTGTCTAAGATTACACAACTATGAGAGCAAGCATTCATACTCTCATACTAGAGCTTGAGATCTTAAACTACTTGATATAACAGATATCAGTCTATAAATATGAACATATAAGTACGTAATTATTGGTAGTTCAGTATTCAGTGATATACTTCAGAGACTGACTTAGTGTTTACTGTTTACTGGACAAAGGATACTCCATCTGAAGCCACGAAAATGAATTAATTTTTTAAAATTCAGTCCTTTTCATCTTTATCTATGATATATCGCTGGTCTTTTCCCAACATTAAATTAATTAAATAAATTTATTTGGAGAAGCTTTCTAAAATTTTAAAATCTGTGTGAATTTTGGATACTAAAACTTCTACTGTTTCTGGAGATTATAAGCCATAATATCAGCAGGTATTTCACCTCTGGTAGAATTATCAAATGATCTCTTTTCATTAAGATTTATTTAGCTTACATCATATAACATGGATAAACTTAGAGGACATTATGCTGAGTGAAGTAAGTTGATCACAGAAGGACAAATAATGTATTAGTCCATTATTGTAAAAAGTCAAGGAAAGGTTTACATATGGAAGGAAATTTCCTTTGTTGGTTACCAGGGGTGAGAGGGGAGGGCAATTAACACTGTTAGATAGGTAGAGACAAATGTTGATTTGGTTGAAGAGAAGGAAAATGTATCAAATGTGAGTGATGAACTTAGTGGTATTAAAGAAGAGGAAGGCATAGAGAGGTGCATGGGAGGTACCGATAACAAAGATGAATCCTTATCCACATACAGTACTGCGTTGTCAGTGAAGGCAAACATTGATAACATGGGTGGATAGATGGGTGGACACGCTGAACTATTAGGTATGGCTGTGTGATTTCACACAAATCACAATAAAAAGAAAAAATTTAAAAAAAAAGAAAGATTTGTTTAGCTTACAAAGAAATGAAGTATAAAACATTAAAATTAACCACATATATAAAAGTATGAAAAAATGGTTTTCATCATCGGTTAAAAAAAACTTATAACCTCTTTTGAAATGCAACTTATTTTAAATTGATCAAGTAAAAGAGAATGTGTTTTCATTGTTTTAGATGTACATGTTACTAATACACCCCCTACTGACTCTACTCATGATTCCTTTCTCCTCCACAGAGGTTACAAATTCTGTTTTAGTAGTTTTTTTCTATTCATTTACATACATCACTATTTACGTACTGAAAAAGGGAAAAAGTTTTGCTTTATGTTTCTTTTTATAAATGTGTATATATGTAAATATATATTATATATATATTATATAATTATATATAATATATATAATGTAATATACATATAATATATATTTATGTTTTATATAATATATATATTTATATACATATATAGAGAGAGAGAAAGAGAGCTTACTTTTTTCTCAACCACAGTGCTTTCATTTCAGTATATGTACTTCTACATAATTATATAGATAAATAATAATTGCTAAAGGGGCAAGGAGGCCACATTTTCCAACCTCCTCTAACCCCACAAGAGGAAGAACAGAATCACCATCAGTAGCCCAAGGCCTATTCCTATGAGTCCATACATGCTGCCTCCCTCCAGCCCTTTCACCAATCCTGACACCAACCATTCCTCCTGCAGTACTCACCACCTTTCTGCCAAGTTCGATAATTCACTGCAGTGACCACACAGAACTCACAGATTGTGGGGTTTATTAAGGAAGCACCAGGCTACAATTCAAGTTCAGGAAAAACGCTCAGTCTCTCTCAGCCCGCCGTCTCCCAGCCAACAGTCTCTTTCAGCCACTCTCCCAGCAATGCGTGTCTCTTGGTGTCTCTTTCTCAGCACTGCGTGTCTCTCAGTGTCTCTTTCTCAGCAGAATGTTTCTCACAGCATGTCTTTCTCATCCAGCAGTCAGAGAGACCTCTTCTGCCTCAAGGAGGCCTCCTTTGGTTAGAGCCTGGCAGAGTGGCCAAACTAACCAATCATAGTGTCAGAATTCTAAGCACCTGAGAGAGAGCAAACTTCCCAAAATGTTGCTTTGTGCCAGTCTCAACAGAAATACCCCAGGTTGATAACTTTTACAATCAGGAGCTCCTCAGTTACTCACAGCAAGTTCCACCACAAAGTTTACAAAGACTTATGGCTAGAAAAGCCATACGAGGTAATTTATTACACCACAATAATGAAATATAAGTGATACTTGGATGTGTGTCAAAAACCAAAACCCACTGCCGTTGAGTCAGATCCAACTCATAGTGACCCTCTCCTTGGGTTTCTGAGGTGATATCATTACAGAAGTAGATTGCCCAACCATCCTTCCGAGGAATAGCTGGTGGGTTTGAACCACCAGCCTTCTTGTTAGCAGTCACATGCCTTAGGCAGTACACCACCAGAGCTCTCTTGGATGTGTATATTCAGTACATATACAGTACATAAAATTCTCTTTAGCTGCAGTATAGTATTCTGTAATATCAGTGGACTTTAATTAAATCAACCTAACATCTTATTGATGTACATTTTCATTATTTCCAGTTTTTTACTATTTAGAAATAATATTCCAATGTACACTGTTACACAAGCCTATTTGTGTGTTTTCTAAGAGTAGAAATGGAGAAGTGGAATTGCTGTGTAAGTATTTATGCATATTTTATTTTTAATGCGTACTGTTTAGTTTCTCTCTAGAATGACTGTGTTAATTGATACCCTAAGCAGTGATGTATGAGAGAGTCCATTTTCTCATGTTGTTAGGTACTGTCGAATAGATTCCAATTCACAGCGACCTTATGTACAACAGTATGAAACACTGCCAGTCCTTTGCCATCCTCACAGTCATAGTTATTTTTGAGTCCATTATTACAGCCACCATGTCAACCCCTCTCTTGATGGTCTTACTCTTTTTCACTGACCCTTCACCTTAGCAAGCATGATATCCTCCTCCAGGGACTTGTCCCTCCTGATAATATGATCAAAGTACAAGAGATGAAGTCTCTCTATCCTCACTTCTCAGGAGCATTCTGGCTGTATTTCTTCCAAGACATGTTTGTTTATTCTTCTGGCAGTCCATAGTATATTCCTTATTCTTCACCAGCACCACAGTTCAAATGCATCAGTACTTTTGGAGTCTTCCTTGTTCATTGTCCAGCTTCACATGCATATGAGGCTATTAAAAGTACCCTAGCTTGACTCAGGCACACCTTAGTCTTCAAAGTGATGTCTTTGCTCTTTAACACTTTAAAAGAGGGCTTTTGCAGCAGATTTTCCCAATGCTGCTGCTTCCATGGCTGTTGATTATGGATCCAGGTAAAATGACATCTGTGACAGCTTCAGTCTTTTTTCTGCTGATCATGATGTTGCTTTCTGTTACAGTTGTGAGGATTTTTTTTTTATGTTGAGATGTAATCCATACTGAAGGCTGTCATTTGTGATACTTACCTGTAAATACTTCAAGTCCTCTTCACTTTCAGCAAGCAGAGTTTTGCCATCTGCATGTTATAGGTGTTAATGAGTCTTCCTCCAGTCTTGATGTTGCATTCTTCATATAGTCCAGCATCTCAGATTATTTGATCAGCATACAGATTGCATAAATTTGGTGAAAGGATACAGCCCTGACACATACCTTTCCTGAGTTTAAATCCTACCCCACTGATTATATTTTATATTGATACACGATAGCTTGTTTAACTATTATTGAGATTGAACAGTTGAGTTTTTCCTTTTTTTTTACTCTGTTATAAAGAAGGGCTGCTGAAGAAGGGATAAGAAATATACATATGCATATATATAAGATACATATATTTGTGTATATATATATATATATATATATACATACATCTGTATATCACTTGTCACTTGTCTGTGCCAAGAAATTTGGAAGACAGCTACCTGGCCAACTGAGTGGAAAAGAGCCCACAGAATGTTGAAATTATCAAACAGTATCATTAATATCATATACAAGTAAAATCTTGCTGAAGATAATTCAAAAATGACTGCAGCAATATATTGACAGAGAACTTGCAGAAATGCAAGCTGGATTCAGAAGAGGACATGGAATGAGGGATATCATTGCTCATGTCCACTGGATCTTGCCTGAAAGCAAAGAATACCAGAAAAATGTTTACTTGTGTTTTATTGACTATGCAGAAGCATTTGACTGGGTGGATCATGACAAATTTTGAATAATATTGAGAAGAATGGGAATTCCAGAACACTTAATTGTGCTCATGAGGAACCTGTACATAGACCAGGAGGCTGCTGTTCAAGCAAAACAAGGGGATACCGCATGGTTTAAAATGAGGAACCATGCAGCACAGTTGTATCATTTCACCGTATTAGCTCTGGTGGCATAGTGCCTAAGGCATTTGACTACTAACCAGAAGGCTGGTGGTTCAAACCCACCAGCCATTCCTCAGAAGGAAGGTTGGACAATCTAATTCTGTAGTGATATCACCTCGGAAACCCAAGGAGGGGTCTTTGTGAGTCCGATCCAACCCGACGACAGTGAGTTAGTGTTCAATCTGTATGGTGAACAAATAATCTGAGGAGCTGGACTATATGAAGAAGAATGTGGCATCAGGATTGGAGGAAGACTCATTAACAACCCGTGATCTGCGTATGACATAACTTTGCTTGCTGAAAATGAGGATGACTGGAAGCACTTACTGAAGAAGATTAAAGACTATAGTCTGCAGTATGGATTACATCTCAATATAAGGAAAACGAAAATCCCCAAAACTGGACCAATAGGCAGCATCACAACAAATGGAGGAAAGATTGAAGTTGTTAAAGATTTCCCATTACTTGGTTCCACAATCAATACCAGCAATCAAGACATCAGACAATGTATTGCACTAGACAGATCTACTGCAAAAGACCTCTTTCAAGTTCTGAAGAGCAAAGATGTCTCCTTGAAGACTAAGGTGCACCTAACGTAAGCCATGGTATTTTCATTCACCTCAAGTGTGTGTGAGAGCTGGATAGTGAACAAGGAAGGCCGAAGAAGAGTTGAAGCTTTTGAGTTGTGGTGTTGGTGAAGAATACGGAAAGTACTATGTACTGCCAGAAGAACGAACAAACCTGTCCTGGAAAAAGTGCAGCTGGAATGGTCCTGGAAAATGAGAATGGCCAGACTTTGTCTCACATACTTTGGTCATGTTGTCAGAAGGGTCTGTTCCCTGGAGAAAAATACCATGCTTGGTAAAGTGGAGGGTCAGCGAAGAAGGGAAGGCCCACAATGAGATGGATTGACACAGTGGCTGCAACAGTGGGCTCAGGTATACCAGGGATCATGAGGCTAGCAAAGGACCAGGCAGTGTTTCGTTCTGTTGTACATAGGGTCACTATGAGTCAGAGCTGACTCAATACCACCTAACAACTACAACATATAATCTATGCTTTTTTGTTTTTATATTCAGAATATGTCTGTAAGATACATAAACTGATTTGGGGAACAGGGATGGAAAGGAGACTTTTCTAAATGACTTTTTACTTTTTATTCTTTGGTTGTGTGAACTGAATTACCATTTCAAAAATAAAACTTTATAAAGCAGTAATAATAGGTTGTGCTATTTTGAACATCATATGTTTTAAATACTTTCCCATTTTCCTTTCAGGATTCCTATCCTCAAATGTATTTATTGCCCCAAGTGAGAATGTTGTTGTTATGTGCCGTTGAGTCAGACTCGACTCATAGTGACCCCTCCTTGGGTTTCCAAGGCAGTATCACTACAGAAGTAGATTGCCCCATCTTCTTTCCAAGGATTGGCTGGTGTGTTTGAACTGCCAGCCTTCTGGTTATAGTCAAGTGCCTTAGACACTATGCTACCAGAGCTCCTCAAGTGAGAATAGGAGATCAGAAATTAGGAATAAGTAGCTGGATTATAGATGAAACAACTTGATGTCATACTACATTGGATAGACTTTTTTTTTTACTTTAGGAGATGTTCTAAGACCTGTAAAACAGATAGGAATAATAGGAAAACTGCAACTCAGAGAGATTAAAGCCTACCCCTGAGAACTATTACAAAAGTGATCAATTATGTTTTTAAATTAGTTTAAGATGATAATTTTTATTTATTTTAGTAAGGATAGTGGGTTATGTTTTGTTTTTTTTCCTACCTTTACTTATGTCGTTGTTTCCAGGAGAAGGTATAAACAGTGATACAACTACAATGATAATATAACAATATTGTGACTCTATTCTGATTAGGATATCCTGGACAACTTAAAATAAAGGCCTTTAAGAAACCTTATGTACCTTTTAGGACTCCTTGCATCCATGTTTTGGTTCTGTAGTCTGTAATGCAAAGTGTGATAAAAACAATAATACTTGATGGCAGTTACTTGTTCAGTTCTTTCATTATTGGTGTCTATACCATTTCAGTTAAGGCATATTTTGCTTTATTATTTTCTCTTCAGTTTTTTTACTTTTTGTGTAGAAATGCTTCATGACTATCTTCTTTTTTCGTAAGCTGCAACTCAGTGTCTTTCTAATCTTCCTGCCCCTAGTAGCAGTGGACTAGGTTAGTTTTCAGATTGATACAAACACTGGAACAAGGCGATATTTGAGCTTAAAATCAATTACAGTTTTATGATTAAGAGTCAGCTTTAGCTGTTTAAGAATTTTTAAGAATATTCCAAACATTGAAGTTTGAGTTGAAGTCTTCAGAAAAAGAATGACTACATATAGAGTATATAGAATTAGATTTTTCCAGGAAATCCCAGGGTTTCCTCCCCCCACCCTTGGTTTTACAGTGCATTGATTTCAGCAGAAGATACAAATCTACACTTGGCAAAATATGAACCTTGATTTCTTTTCCAGTAGTTACTGTAGATTTGAGATGATATATTTTCATTATTGTGACTGTTGGCACTTCTTTCCCCAAAGTGGGGAAATGGTAGAAATATTTAAGCAGAGCAATTGACAGTAGACATTGATTATTTGAAGTTGTTCATATGAAAGTAAAATCTTAAAATTTGTCTAATACCGGAAGTTCATTATAATAAGGCATTGTTCTGAGCTTTCTAACTCCAATTATATACTATGTTCTTCATACTCTCCAGAAAGCTATATTTTGTTACTTTGTTTTAAAATACTTTAGCTCAGTATCTGGTCAAGCAAGGTTAAGAGAAAGCTGCTTAATTTCTGTCATTACTGGGCAATTGGCAACTCTAATTGTAAATGTCTTTTTTGTTTCAGTGCTTTATTTCCTGCCACTGGTACATGAACTTGAGCGTTCTCAAAAAATTATGTACTTTCTCTAATGGTTTAATTTTTTTTTTACATTACATACCTTTTACTGACTAGTGATACTTCTAAACATATGAAGTAGCTAATGTCTTTAGATGTATGTCAAGATTATATAATGATGCTGTTTTAGGATGATGATGCAGATCAAGGGGCTGTCTCAGCCAATACTTCAAACTTGGATGATTTCTACCTGGCAGAAGAAGACACCAAACAAAATCCAAATAACACTAGAGAAAATGCCAATAAACCACAGAAAGATGCTGGAGTAAATGAAAAGGAAAGGTATGTTAAGTGTTTGACCATTAATTAATAAAAATTTAGTGCCTTTCATAGGGAAGGTGGTTAGCTACGTATTATATTATGTCTTAATGTCATCAGATTTTATTGGAGTCTACAAATATATATATATAATGTCAATTTAATTATAGAGAAAAGTTTTATGAAGCTAAACTACAGCAGCAACAGAGAGAGCTCAAACAATTGCAGGAAGAAAGAAAGAAACTGATTGAGATTCAAGAGAAAATTCAGGCATTACAAAAGGCATGTCCTGACCTACAGGTAATTATGAAATTAATTTTTTCCCATTTGTCTGAAAAAATACGTAAAACCTAATGTAAGCTGAAAGTACTCTTGCTCTTTTTCCAATATTGATGTAACAAATTATGTCTACCAATTTTGTGATTAGTGCATGAATTAGTAGAATGGTGTAGGCATACAAATTTGTACTCTGAAAGAGAACACACAGGAATTGACTCTGATTATTTCCATTCTTTTGCTTGTTGGGCCAGCTAATGAGAGCATTAGAACGTGAGTATTCGTAATTATTTATATTAAAATACACTGTTTGAACTTTGCAATTCTGGACCAGCAATTCCATCTTCTACTTGCCTGACATTCTACAACAAAGTCCTAAGTCATCATGAATTACCTAAGGGAAATAATTAAGATATTGTTTGTATAGTTTGACTGTTAAATGTGTGTATTGTATGTGTGTGTGCGCATGTACTTCTGTTGGTACCCTATGCATGAGACTTTGAGATTGAACAGATAGTGAGAAATCTTTGATAATGTTAGATAATCAGGAATAATGGTAATATGAGAAGAAAAAAAAAATTTTTTGACATTTTACTTAAATGTATTTGTTAGCTTTGTACTTTTCTTTCGTTAATTTTGTTCTTCAGATGGTCTGTGTTTTCAGAGAAGGAGATAAATCAAATGACATGTTTCTAATATACCTGCTTCTTTCCTAGACTTTAACTTTTCCGCTTTTTCTAATTCATATCTTTCTCTTTTTTCCCCAATGTAAACAATATCCACAGTAATTTTTTAATACATACCAGAGTTTGAATGCATATATGATATTTTCCACAATAGCATTATTTTCCTGTTGTCTCTGGTGTTTTGATCTTTGTTTCCTTATGTCAACTTTTCTTTGAATGATGATAACCATTGGATCTGATAATAACAAATTAAATATTAATGGCACTAGAGCCCTTTGGCAGTAAAATAACTGTTTTTGTAATAGTTGTTTTAATTCCTCCTAATAGTTTTTAACCAATCTTTTTTTAGCTGTCAGCCACTAGTGTGGGTAGTTGTCCCACAAAAAATTATCTGCCTGCTGTTACTTCAACACCAACTGTTCATGAAAATGAAAGTAGTACAAGCAAATCTGTGTTTGAGCCTGAAGAGTCTTCAGTCGTAGATAATGAGGTACTGAATATTGTACCCTGTTATTTCTGACTCAGTCTTAGGTCAGATTTTAAGAAGGGAAGCAGGATACCTGTGAAACATGTTTTTAAATGATAATCTGTCATGTGTTTTTTAGTTGGGTGGAAGAAAACATTATTTTTCAAGAAATAATTAAGTTGCTGTCTTTTCAAAGTAGACTTTGCTCTTTATTAATGAATATTTGGCAGAATTTTACCTATGGAGCTGGTGCAGCAAATGGTAATAATTTCGGTTAGAAAGTTTTAACCTGTGACATCTTATTTATATTTCATTTATAGAAAACATCCTAACTTTTTCTACACAGCACATGAAGTATATTTGCTACTACTTTGCATTCATTAAGAATTAGTAATTGCTTAACTTTTTCTTCTTTATTATTGAAATACTGTTTTAACCTTCATGGATGTCTTCGTATAAAAGGATAGAACAAGGATAGGGATCTTTGTGGGTATTGGCAGTAGTATTGGTCTGTTATTTTAAAGGCTAAAGAAAATCCACATATTTATACTTCTGTGACTCTGATTTTTTAAAAATAGCTATGGTCAGAAATGCGAAGACATGAAATGTTAAGGGAAGAGCTACGGCAGAGAAGAAAGCAGCTTGAAGCTCTGATGGCTGAGCATCAGAGGAGGCAAGGTCTAGCTGAAACTGCATCTCCAGTTGCTGTTTCAGTCAGAAGTGATGGCTCTGAGAACTTATGCACTCCTCAGCAAAGTAGAACAGAAAAGTAAGAGTTTTTAAAATGTTGTTTTTTCAACATCCCCTTATTTAAGATCTGTGGTCTACACTGTGTCATTGCCCATCTACATCCCCACACAAATCTTCTGTCTCTTTAGGCTGGTTTTTAAGTATTACCTTTGTGACTCAATTTGACTGACTCCAGCTATTTTCTGTTCTGATTTCTTTTTTGTTGTTTTATTATTTTTTTAGTGCATTTTATTGAAATATAATTTATGTACAGTGAAATACACAAAACTAAAGTGACATGGGTCGATCCATTTTTTTTTTTTTTTTTTGGCAGTGTTCCCTCACCCCACCCCTACCCCTGGCAACCAACAAAGAAAATTTCCTTCCATATATAAATCTTTCCTTGACCCTCCACAACAACGAACTAATACAATATTTGTCCTTCTGTGATTGACTTATTTCACTCAACATAATGTCCTCCAAGTTCATCCATAGTACGCGGTATTTTGCAGACTCTACATTATTCTTTAGTGATGCATAGCACTCTATTATGTGTGTGTACCATAGTTTGGTTATCCACTCTTCCACTTATGGGCACGTAAGTTGTTTCCATCTTTTTGCTATTGTAAATAGTGCTGCGATGAACATGAGTGTGCATATATCTGTTCCTATCCTGGCTCTCATCTCTCTAGGATATATACCTAGTAATGGGATTGTTGGGGCAAATGGTATCTCCAATTCCAGCTTTCTAAGGAATCACTGTACTGCTTTCCACAGAGGTTCTGTCACTTCACAGTCCCACCAGCAGTGTATGAGAGTCCCAATCTCTCCACATCCCCACCAGCATTTGTTATTTTCTGTCTTGTTGAACCTTGGCATCAGTGCTGGGGTGAGATGGTATCTCATTGTTGGTTTGATTTACATGTCTCTGATGGCCAGTGATTGTGAGCATCTCTTCGTTTATTAGCTGGCCACCTGAATATCCTCCTTGGTGAAGTGTCTATTAATGTCTTCTGCCTATTTTTTCAATTGGATTGTTAATTCCTTTGGTGTTGAGGTGTTGGAGTTTTCTATAAATCCTTGCCAGATAGGTAATTATCAGCAAATACGAATTCATTGCTGTCATTTTTGTCATGTGCTTTTTCATTGTGTTGATTTCTTTGTTCCATATAATTTCTGTGTTGAGCTCGTGTTATCACTTCCTTCACTGCTATTGTTTTAGTATTTGCTGAATATTTATGCTGGTCCTCTTTTTTATTTTGATGTGAAGGTTTATCATTTTTCTTTGAGGTTACCCTGCGTTTATAGTTTTCTTCCCAAGTTTAGAACAGTCTGTTCTATCTTGTAGT